GATCACGTAAGCCTTAAAAGTAAATAAAAACAATTTAACTTCAATAAAAGGAGCGCGTAGATACCTGAACTCAAACTGAAAATATTTCTCAATTATTCCAAACACGATGTGAAAAAATATTTTATTAAAAATGCATATATGCAATCCATACTATATATAGTACATATGTAATAATATGTATATATACAATTGAAGAAGAAAAAAATTTCAATAGATACATCACATTCTTGATATACCTAGATGTATGTTTTTTTCATCATTTTATCTAATTATGACATGGCACCAAATATTATTACAAATAATATTGATAATCTTACAACTCCGATCAAAATTTTAATATATTGCGGATTATAAGACCAGCTTCAAAAACATAGTGATCCGTATTTATTTTTATTATTTGAATATAATAAAATCTAAGCTATAGGTATATATCTCAACTTTTCAAAAATATTTAATTATTATTATAAAATAATTGGCTATCAATGCACTGCCACCTAAAAGATCTATTGTGCACCTAAAGCCACAACTAAAATAATTCTAGCCTATTTATAAAGTTCATAATTGCTGTGGGCTTATTTTTACCTATTTGATTTTGAACTAAGATTCCGCTTCCAAGGTAGTCAAATCTACGTCTTGCCGCCGCTGTGCAGAAGAATATATTCTGATGTTTCCTTCGCTTTATGACAGAATCGACAAAAATCGCTTTCTTCCGCACCTACATTCTTTATGTGATAATTGAGTCTACAGTGTCCTGTAAGAAGTTCAGTATCCATTTTAGTATCGTTTCTGCTAAAGTTCTTGACTGCCGCATGCCTATTTGGGCTCCCCAGTGTTCAAGTAGATTTTGTTTTTCCCGTTCACATAATAAGTTATTTAAGAAGCTATTTGTTATCCCACTGAAGGGCTCTGGACCAATGAGCAGAGTACATGTACCTTTCTAGGGAGTCAGCTATTTACTTGCCCTCATGCTTTTCATGTTCCGGTACCCATGTCCGAAAGAATACTTATTTTGGTACATAGCTCTAATGCATGGTACCTGAAAAATGAAAGCGGTTTTTCCCATTTCGATCGCTTTGCGGAATTTCGGTCTCATAATTCCTGCTCCTGCACTGCCATCTACCATTTTGGACCTATCAGTATACCATAATTGTAAACCCTTCTGCTAAAATATATTTGCTAAGAAGAAAAAAGAATAATACAAAAGCGCATATTGAATTTAAATTAAACACTATTGATATATTTCAAATATATTATTATCACTTATTCACTTATATATTATTATATCACTTATTGGAAAAATTTTTTATTTTATTTATATAAATTTATATTTTATTTAACTTTTAAAGTTTTGATTTTTAAAAATTATCCGTACATATTAATATGCAGTATACATAGTATATTGAAAAATTATATAATACATCACATAATTGGAAACAGTCTTTGAGTGAAAGTACGGGCCTTATTTTTGATAAGGTATAAAGTTTATACTAACTAATAATATTTATACTAATAGAAGGAATATTAAGGCAGATGCATTACATTATCTATAATCTCTCTTCAATCATATAAAAAAGTCGACATCGTCTCCCCGACGGGGAATTGAACCCCGGTCTCCCGCGTGACAGGCGGGGATACTAACCACTATACTATCGAGGACTTGATATATATTTTATTGCATTCAAATAATTCCAAAATATGTTTTTATGACTAAAATTAAAATATTTGCATAATTAATAATAACACAAGATCATTTTTGTTTTAATTAGATTTTAGTTTTTTAAAAAATTTCTTTTAACATTTAATTTTTGGTAAATTTTGAAATGTGATTAAAAAAATAAGGTCAAAAGTATTAATTTTAAAGCACGTAAGAAGTATTGTTTTATGATATTAACATAAGTTTGTTTATTTAGAATATATGACTGAATTGATGAAGAGGTGACCAAAGGTCAGTTACACTCTCTAATGCATATTGAAATTTATGACTATAACATAACATATTTATTATAAATTTCTGCTAATAAACTTCTTTTATATATCGTATATTACAACTCCCATTTAACCGTGTGGAGTTAGAGATAATCTACCCAATATTGACTCGTTTACGCCTTAAAGTTTTAGCTAATCTTCAACGGTCTTCAAGTATAGTAAAGTATTCTCTGATTAGGGGACGGCTTCTTTCAGTAATAATGCACTTACTACTCCTTCATCTTTTTGTTATTCATTTGTGTTACCATAAATGTTATATTTCGAATTCTATATAACTTTATTTAAGATAACTGGTGATAAACAAAGGAAACGTGCCATTTTTTTCTATACTTTCTTTAAATTAGAATTTTTACAATTATTTCATGGCATAAAAGCCAGTGAAATTTTCAGTCACTATTTCTCGAGTTCAATTACGTTTCTTTGGGTACAGAATATTTTATAAAACAGCTTTATTTTTGTTACTTAATCGTAATCTACATTCTGTTAATAATATATTTAAAGTACAAAAATTTTAGCAATAATTTTATATTAAATTAAAATAATCACAACATATAAACGTTATGTACAACGAGCATATTTGTAACCCGTTGTCCTTAAAGATAATGAGAATTATTAATCAAAATTTTATGTTATAAGTAAACTAAAATTTTTAAATATAAGTACATTCAGTAAATATGTGAATTGCATTCTAAAAAATTTATAAAAATTTAATGAATAAATAGACCTCTAACTAAATGAATATAAATTAATATAGGTAAATGTTTATAGCAAAACTTATCCTTAAATTTCATGTTTTCTATTAATCATATTTTTTTAGAAACACTCAGTTGTAACAGTTACTCATTTCATACACAATACTACACAATGGATATTGAATCCCGTCTTCATATACAATTTGTTTATATATGGGAGAATTATAAATTATATAAGAAAATATACAAAACATTAATCTACATAAAAAAAAATTTTTATTAAAATGGTATACTTATAACATTAGTGTTAATCATAGATATTTTAACATATTTTATTAAAATATATTAATAGTGCTTCAGATATTATTTCTATCAGCAAGTTAAATCATTAAATATCAATAATATTATATACAAATTATGACAAAAAAATTATCATAGGTTACAGGCAGGGTTGTTAATCGAATATAATTTTTAATTAAAGCACATCAAAATGTATAGAAAAATAATTCAAATAAAAAAATTATCTACAAAGAAAGTATAAATAAAAAGAATTTCCCATACCGGGAATCGAACCCGGGCCTTCTGGGTGAAAGCCAGATATCCTAGCCACTAGACCATATGGGAGATGAAGAGTACACTGACAAGATACTAACAACAGAATTGATCAATAAAAATATATAAGATTTTTTATATCTTCAATATACGATTATACTGCACTAATTTGATAAGAATTAAATGATTTTTTTTATAATAAATATGACTAATATTAAATTCTTCGAAACATTTTAATTTTTAAATATTGTGATATAAATAAAATATTTTGCGTATTTATAAATAAGCACAACATTTATGAATATGAGAGATCTATATTTATTTATTTATTAATACGAACATAAAAGATTCTTCACATACATTTTAATATAAAAAAATATTTATATATAGCATTTAATTTACAGAAAAAAAATCTTGTACCTAAAATCCATCAACCGAAAGTGTATAAAAGTTGAACCATGAATGAGCATATGGAACGGGAATCCTATCAAAGGATGACAAAGTCCTCATAGGATCTACGGGAACTAATGTATATTTTCCATGTGTAGGATATAATTGCTGCATATATCGATATATAATAATTTACTGCTAATAGGATAATTTTCAACTTTAGTATCGATATTTTCTCACTTCAATCATCGAAGCTTATGCACTTCAAGCTGTTCAAAACTTTAAAAGATCTTTATTGTTTTTAATATTATTTTTTTTTTTGTGGAATCTGACGCAACTTATAACGAAAAGTAGAGTTCGAACAGTAATGAAGAATTAACAACAAAAATTTGATTAATTTATTGACATTTGACTGACTATATAACAATGTTTCGAGTATTGCCAAGTATTCATAATCAGTGATGAAATTTGAATATTTCCTAGGGTCACTGATGATGAGTACCAAGTCTACATCAGTGGGAGTGATCAAATATTTATCATAAGTGATTAAAATTTAAATATTTTCTAAGATCACTGACGATGATTATTTGACCATACTCGAAACAGCGTTGTCTATTCTGCCAAATTTCAATAAATTAATCAAATTTTTGTTTTTACTTTTTCATTACTGTTTGAACCCTTCTAGTCCTTTATTGTCTTTTGACACTATATATGGTATTTGTCAAAATGTGTTGTTCCTTTTGTTACTTAGGACTTGTTATGTACATATCAACATTTTATACTTTTGGTAACAATGCCTTTTAAAATACTTTGGAACGTAAAATCTTATTTTCTATATATGTTAAATGTGCAAAAACTAACAGAAAATCTGCATTATTGTTTTATTCCCTCATAGTTAGTACATTAGTTTAATTAATCTGCATAAGCTACCTTTAAGGATTATAAGAACCACAAATATCAATATATACAATACTAATTTCATCACTAAGGAAAAACTGTCAGTAAGAACTGTTCTACAGTAGAATAGTTCTACATATTTAAAAAGAAATTTAGAATTAAATATAAAAATTCAATATCACAAATATAAATTGTAATTGTTTAAACTTTTGTAACAATTAATATAATAAAATAATACCAAAAAATTCAATGATATCTAGAGGGTAGACGGATTAATGTTGAGTTTTATAAAAATTTGTAAACAACTCATTAGACATTGTAACAAGAGCTACTCCATAATACCCCAACAGATACTTGAACATTAATGCCACGGTTTATTATAGTACTTAAGCGCGTCTACGATAAAAAGAAATACCTACCATAATAATCATATTAAGTAACTTAAATTTTGAAAGAGGACACAGTAAAGTATAAAAACTTCATACATTGTTCGAAAAAGTTACAGTTTGACATAAACCGTCTAAACAGTGACATTTAATTCGGGAACATGAAATTCGCAGTAGTACTAATCGCAGCTTTAGCTTTGGTAGCACCAACCTTTGCTACAACTTACAATCGTTGCTCCTTGGCTAAGGCAATGTATGTTTTGGGTGTACCCAAATCTGATTTGCCACAATGGACTTGCATTGCACAACATGAAAGCTCCTTCCGTACCGATGCTGTTGGTCCAACTAACTACAATGGCTCCAATGATTATGGCATCTTCCAGATCAACGATTATTATTGGTGTCAACCAGCTAGCGGAAAATTCTCCTACAACGAATGTGGTTTAAGTTGCAATGCTCTATTGACAAATGATATTTCTAATTCGGTACGATGTGCACTTAAGGTTAAGAGCCAACAAGGATTCAGTGCCTGGTCCACTTGGAAATATTGCGATGGTGCTTTGCCAAGCATTAATGATTGTTTTTGAATTAATTAAAACTTCGGTATTTGGTTTATAAATTTTAAATAAACTGTGAAGCATTTAAATTAGTTTGTTTTTTTTTTTACTTAAAATTATTAAGGTAAAAATACAGTACAGATATAGACATTTTTATGTGGAGGTCAGCATAAGCCACAACTGCAATCAGATTCTCAATTTATTGTTTTATTTTTTAGTAAATGATATAATGATACATATCGATCGAAACTTCATTGCTAAACATAAGAATAACGTTCAATAAACTTAAAGTAGGTGTTTTCAAAACTCTCTTCATAAATAATATATGATGGCATCAAAGACACTAGACTACATGTCTATGTTCTTTTGAGTAGTTGTACTGTTAAATGAACGACATTACTTTTAAATTAAATTAAAATAAAAAATTAATTAAAAACTATATGTTTTAAATTAAATTAAAATTAAAAATTAATTAAAATTTAATTAAAAATTATTCGTTTTAAATCAAATTAAAAATAAAAGCTAGAATGTAGCACATTAAATTTGATTAGGTTAGATTTGTAAAGAATTGGGAACTATGACATCCTTTAAGAATTATTGTGACAAAGCCACTTAAGTTCCATAAGCGCTTAGCAATTTAAAATGCCTTTATGTCTCTTGGAGAAGTGTTGCCTATTTCTGTTATAAGTGGATAGGCAAGTGATAAGTTCGAGTCTGGCGAGACTATCACAGTGACATAGAATGTATTCTGCTGTTTGCTCTACTTCGTAACAAAGTCTACAGCTATCGTCACTTGTAATATCTAGATTCGATAGATGTTTTTTTGACTCTGCAATGTTCATAGAGGAACCCTCTGTCACAGTCAGAAACCTTTTCTGTTCAGCATTAATAGCACCATGGTTCATTTCTTTAGGTTGTCTGTAGACAATTATATTATCATAATCACTCTAAGCTGCTATTTCTAGCTAATTTTTAGTATGTGGTACACACTACTCCACTTCTTGTCTACACTTATGATTGTTACTCGTATTCTTACATCAAACTGTGAACATCCCTATTGATTAAATTGCTTTTTTAATACTGTTTAAATATGTAATGGAATATTTTCGTTACTGTAGTTATTTATTGTAGTTATAAAATTATTAATACAATAATATTAATTATAATCATATTTCATCAATTCCAGACTTTTTAAATATTTTTTATTTAATTTTTATTTTGATTATTTAGTTTCAACATAATTCTATATCTTACGCTTCACGGTGGTATTGCAATTTATTCAAACGATTGATTATTGTATTTATTTTATTTTTAATTTTATTAAATTTTTTAATTATCACTTTACAGTTATTGTTGAAAAAGATTTTATTTTTTTTTGCACATCCCCGATATATCATATCATATTTTAAAAAATGAGTAGAAGAAAAGAAAAAGTTAATATTGCAGCTGCACAGAAGGTCATATCGTGTTCAATTTACAATACTTACATTTATTTTTAAAATTGTAAATAGAAAAAGTCTTAAGATGGAAAATAATACAAATATATATAAATTGAAAATTACAACTTAATGAAAAAGAAAACACAATTTAATTTTTAAACTAAAAGAAAAGCAATTATTGCACGTTTTGAAGATAGATAGAAGATAGATTGACTTAAGTTTATTGTGGAACAAAATATTTACAAAAATTAATTGTTTATCAGCACAAAGGCTATATAACTAATTTTATGGTTAAATACTTTCTAATAATTATCTTTGTTTCTTTGCATTCGTCTAAGTGGTCTTTCATAAAAAAGAAACAATTTTTAAGAATAAAACTAAAAAGTTTATCTTTTTTGACCAACCAAAACTGTTATTGAAATGCACCAACAAAGATGTATCTTTAACAAAATGCAAGCAGATGCATTTTAATATTTTAATTTAAAACTGATAAAACTAGTAATACAAGTCGTGAGTAAGTTTTATCAAAAAAATATGTCAAATATGCATTAAAACTTTATATTACTTGGCATAAACCAACACATTATTTTATTTATTTGAAACTTCGGATATGTTAATTGCTGCAATATGATGGCTCTTAGATAAATACACACTTTAATGCCAACGGATATTGTACTTAATGTCATTTATTAACTCTTTTTGATTTGCATATTTTGATATAATTATCGGTTTTTTGTCATACATCCACGATAATGTCAAGGGTATTGACTTTTCATGGAAAATATTTAATAACTTCTTCAAAAGATAAACAAATAAATTTTAGTAAGTGTAATATAACAATTTCATTGGCTAGATCGTTTTATATACCATTATATAAAGGCAGAAGAAGCAGCTTAGAACTTATTTCTATATATATGTGGTTTTAATCACCGATACAGTTACTTAACACGCACATACTATTATTTGCTTCAATTTAAGTTTAGTTCAATTTATACATAATTAAACAATAGTATTAACAATGATTTTAATAAATAAAATATATATAACATATGATTTTATACACCACTTCAGCAACCAGCGCACTCTTAATACCTCTCTTTCTTTTTGTCTCTTGTCATTTTCTGTAAGTGTTGCCACGGTTGCCACTTGAAAATTTTTTTCTGTACCAAAATTGGTTTAAAAAGGTACCATTTCTGTAAAAAAAGGTCCAAAATTTTTCTACTGTCTTTTTATAAGAAAATGCAATTTATATAAAACGTACAAAAAGTATAAAACAATACAATATCCACAATAAAGTTGGGTCGCCGAAAATGTACCATTTTTTGAACATGAGTACCAGAGTACCAAATGGAAAAAAAGTACCAATTTTGGTACTAAAGTACCATAAGTGGCAACCGTGAGTGTTGCCCTGAGAAAGAAATGTCAATTGGTTTTTTTTTGTCCTCAGACGTATTACCTAATGGTGATGTCTGAAGAAACTTACCGTCCGGACACTTTTTAGGATGGTTGAAATCCTCCACTTATATAGGGTTTCGAACTTTCCTCCCATTCGCAACAAAAAAAAGGGTTGTAAGTCATCAATGATGATGGTTACGGTTCCTACATATATCACTTTTTTGAAAATCTTAGATTTCTTTTCATTTTATGTTACTATTTGTTTATAAATTTCTTTTAATTTATAAAAAAAGATTGCAAATAGTACAGAAGAAATCTAAATCCCATACTGTAATAATACTTTACCCCGAGGAAGAATGATGATATTTATATAAAGGACAAAATAAAAATAAAAAAAAAACTAATTTATAATTTTTTATTTTATTCACATAAGCCCTTTCAAAAAATAGAAATTTTCTATTAATTTTTTGTATATATATATTAAGAGATATATTTCATAATAATAATTTTTTTTGTAGTATTTTTTTGTCTATCAAGCAGTGTAATCGGTCTCTAAAGTGAGGTTGATAACTTATTACTTATTCCTTTACAAAAATGAATTGTCCTTGATCGCATATAGTAGCCTCCGTAAACTAGCTCGTTCACTAAATTATCGTCGCCAGTTAATAATATCGGTTGACTCTGCTTATATTACCATTTGATGTTTCCTCCAAAGATACGATGGTTATCTACAGCTTATTTCAACAGCGAATACCGAATCTGTCTGATTCGGTGCCTGCTTGATCATGTTTCTAGACAGACCTAACTAAGTCAGCAATATCTTGATTACGTTGTATCAAGACTACAACAAGACTACAGCTTTACTACAACTACATCACGATATAGATCATTGCTGTATTGATTTTCTAAAAAGCTTTCCGCTCTAATACTTCTTTCTCATAGTGAAACGATTCCTTCTATATATAACGAGCATTAGTACGTTAGTATCTAAATACCACTGCTCGTAGTCCAACGCATAAGAAGACGTGACTTATATAGGTTCTTTATATCGGGCCATATTTTTGAAATTATTTACCCATATAAGTATTCAATTAAATATCAAAACATTTAGCATAAAAATGTACTTAAGTTTTTTCAATAAAAGTACCTCTATGGAAAATTATTTCTTTTATCAATAAATCATTTTTCAATTCTTAGAAAGCAGCATATATCAAATTTTTATTAATTATTTCATATGCGTATATTGAAAGCCTCAATTTTTTTTTTTAGAATCCAAAACACCTGCTACATCAAAGTCCATTTATAACTTAAAAATTCTACGCATGCGTCTATGCTTAATTGCTTGAAAATGAATTGAATTATTAAAGAAAAGAACTGTCAATTTTAATAGATTCACTATAAATAAAAATCCATAATGCATTTTTGCATTATGCAGTTATTAAAAATGCATAACACTACCTGATTATTTGATTATGAGTGAGAAGCAAAGAAATAATCAAGAAAATACCAATTGGAATACAAAAAGTTGAGAACCGCTAGAACCACACACAAAAGAATGCAGCAAATTTTCAACAGAAAAGATAAATCGATAAGTTAGATTATTTTTCGGTGACCCAATGTTAAAATAAAAATTATTAAAAATTATTATTTTAAAGTTGACTTAAAAAAACAGTAAATTTGATAAAAAAAAAAGGCGTTGAAAAATCTGCAATGATGAAATAAAATTAACAACTTTTTGGACAGAATATTTATTCAATATATATATATATATATATATATATATATGTGAAGACCTTCGAAAACTCCCTCTGAAGGAGGGAGGAAGGAATTGAACTCCCTCTGGTTCGATTTCTCGAAATACTAAATAGGAAGGAGGAAGGAATCGAACTCCCTCTGGTTCGATTCCTCGTAATACTAAATATCTAAATACAAAGAGGTGCACAATAGATCAAACTGATCGCAATGCGTTAGAACGTTAGCCTAACCCGAAACCCCCAAACACCATTACCATTACCATATATATATATATATAGGGCTTTTAAGTACATATTACATCAATCAATATGTCTATGCCTCTATAAACTAGTATGCTGTCGTTCAAACACCAATGATGTTTTGAAACCTCTAATCGCCCAAAATCGACAGCTGTTCTGGAGAACATAAAAAGGGATCATAAAAAAGTTTTAAAAGATTGTAAAATGAAGGTGCTAAGACAGGTATCATCGTAATGATATCCGACTGAAATGTGTCTACAATTTTACACGAAGTGAGTACTGCACTTGCTCTTTCAGCAGAACAATATTCCAGACAATAAGTAGATCAAATCGATGGTGAATGAATTACGCCGTCTTTCCGTCTTGTTCTCTTTACAGTCTTATTAGGTTGTTAGGTTAACAATTTAACACTTTTTGTATAAGGAATTCAACAGTAACATAATAACCGCTCCAATATTTCTTCAAATCCAACTATATGTACCTCGTCACTTAATCAAAGCAGTGTTGTTCAGTAATAAATGTCACCATTTCTGTCTTATACAATTTCTGTGACACTCTGCATAACATCTATTTGCGTCAAAGCCCAAAAGAGTCAATTTTGACGAGCTCATGACAATCATGTCGCTTAGTAGACTATCTATTATATTTTGACATATTTTCTACCAAAGTTCACTAAGTTCATTCTGTTTCTGACCTAAAGTCGATTATGTTATAATGTTAAATTTTTTAATTTTTTTTTTTTTTTTTTAATTAAAACCTCTTAAGCTATATAATCCAACACCTTTTATTCAAATTATTTGTTTAATTAGTTAATTTTAATATTAATGTCTTAAAGCCTAACAGTAGGTAAACTTTAAATAAACAAAAAGTAACTGTTGACTCGTGAGATTTGTTTATAAAATTTGTTGTTGCTTATCGAAAATGTAGTTGTAAATAAACTTTTTTATTTAAAAATTTTCATTATTAACAATTTTACTTTATATGCCTTTACATAAACAGTTACAAATATCTATTAGTTTGTATACCATATAAATTCATAGATCAAGAATCGTTGCTTGAATTAACTTTATTAATACCTCAGGGTTTAACGACTTGTCATATGCAAATTTGTTTAAAACCGTTAAATATTTTTTTTTATTTTTTTGTATAAAAACTATAATTTATAATACAATAAAAATAATACAACGGTACTCTTACAAATTTTTGTAAATGTATCTATACACATTCGTAGCTACACACTTGTATCTACACATTAGTATCTACACATTTGTATATACTTATAGCTACTTACTGTATATGCAGATATTCATTTGTCTATCTTTCATCTTAAAACTTTTCTAAAAAAATAAAGAAGACATACAATTTATGTTTGCTTTTAAGATTTAAATTTTGCAGTGAAAGTGAAATCAAAAAATTTTTTCTTTAAACCCAAAAAATGTATAGAAAAATTGTTGAATAGTAAAAAACGTAACCAAATGCCAAAACAATCTGAAACGCGTTTGGACAGTAGTACGCCCGAAAGAAATTCATTACGATTAACTGATCACAGTCGAAATCAAATAGACGCAAATGACAATTTTATTTACATCTGTCAACTTTTAAAATATTATCAGTACGCAACTGGACAAGCGACAAAATAACAAGTGTTTACGATTTAATTAATTTTTAGTGTATCTTTTTTTATTTTTTTCAATGTAAGTTAAAGCGTTAACTTACGTAAAAGTGGTACTGGACACAATTTCTAATAGGCGTATTTTTCATTTAATCATTTTTGTGAAATCATCGGATTTTCCAGATGATCAGAAGAGTGTATTGTACCAATTAATTGCTAGTGATGTATTCTTTGATAAGGTGAATATTATTGCTATCTTAATACTGTGTTCTTAATATGGTATTAATTTCTTTAATACATAAAATACCATATACCGTATAAAATACCACAACAAATTCTTCAAAGATATAGTTTACATACTCGTAACTGAACTTCGCTGTAGTCTACACTACACTTCATACAATTCATACTTGTTTAGTTTAGTGTACACTTCTTCAATAAAATTCGTTAATATAAAAAATACCATATACCGTATAAAATACCACAACAGATTCTTCAAAGATAGAGTTTACATACTCGTAACTGAACTTCGCTGTAGTCTACACTACACTTCATACAGTACGCACTTGTTTATGTTAGTGTACACTTCTTCAATAAAATTCTTTAATACAAAAAATACCATATATCGTATAAAACACCACAACGGATTCTTTAAATATATAGTTTATATACTCGTAACTTAACTTCGCTGTAGTCTACACTACACTTCATACAGTACAAACTTGTTCAGTTTAGTGTACACTTCTTCCACAAAATTCGTTAATACAAAAAATACCATATACCGTATAAAACACCACAAAGGATTCTTTAAATATATAGTTTATATACTCGTAACTTAACTTCGTTATAGTCTACACTACACTTCATACAGTACACACTTGTTTAGTTTTGTGTACACTCTTTCAATGAAATTCTTTAATATAAAAAATATCATATACCGTATAAAACACCACAACGGATTCTTCAAAGGTATAGTTTACATACTCGTAAATGAACTTCGTTGTAGTCTACACTACACTTCATACAGTACACACTTGCTTAGTTTAGTGTACACTTTTTTTGTTTTTTTTTAAAAACAACTATAAGATTATAAGAGAAGCGTTAACAAATAAATAAATGGCAAATTAATATCGCATAAATTATATGTAAAACTTTATTGTATGCAAATAAGCTTTATTTACAAAAATTGTATGACAAATTTGTATAAAATGAATTTTTAAACGTATTTGCATATCTCCATCAGCTAAACAAAGTGTAATCCTCCGTGGCGTGAATTTATGTGGCTGATGAGGGTTAAGTGCGCAGATAAGCCAACGTAAACTAAAGAAACTTGTTTAACCGACAAACGTAAAGTTGAATAACTTAAGTGTTTGCAACAAATAAACACTCAATGATTAAATCATTACAAGAAATTGAAAAAAATTGAAACTGTAAAATATAAAATGTGATTAAAATGGAAATTCATTTCATCGCCAACATAAAACTATCATCGACAACGGAAAATTATAGCGCCGAGATAAAAAAAAAAAGACGCTGAACGATTTTATTACAGATATTTTTCATTTTTATTTATATAAATTTTCTTTTCGTCCAACCTGCTGTCGCAATAAAATTTCTTTAAATCAAACTAAGATTTTATTTTAAATTAACTCTAAAGTTTTAACATCAATTTCTCCATTGGGCGCAAATAAAAATTAATAATACAAATAAAAATTTATATATATATGATATTATATTACTCAATGGTTTCACATCCATCAAACTAGATGTCATATGCATATATAGATGTCCAAAAGTAAGCTTAAAGTTTATTCACCATTCTTGAAAAGCTCTTTTTTGCACAAATAAAGCTTTCTCTCACCTACATCTCTGTCAACTGAGAGACTCTTATACTCTTTACTTAACAAAACTTTTGCTAAGAACTCTTGAAAAACTTTCTCTCACCTGTTCGTTTGTCAACTGAGAGAAATACTCTTATGCTCTTTACTTAACAAAACTTTTGCTAAGAACTCTTGAAAAACTTTCTCTCACCTATTCGTTTGTCAACTGAGAGTAATGCTCTTATGCTCTTTACTTGACAAAGTTTTTGCTAAGAACTCTTGAAAAACTTTCTCTCACCTATTTGTTTGTTAACTGAGAGTAATGGTCTTATGCTCTTTACTTAACAAAAATTTTTGCTAAGAACTCCAGAATCAGCATTTCAAAAGTTATATGCAAATTTTATTATTATTATCAGGGGATATGGCACTGCAATCGTCGGGTGTATTGAGCCCCCTTCTGGATTTAGAGTAGGTCTCTAACCCCTGTTCTGTCAATAAAAAGTAGTATAGAACCTACTTTACAGAGTTTTATTGGCTCTTCCGTAAGAATATACTTTCCGAAGACTCTATTCCACTTGTGCATTAGCTCGCATTCTAACAGCAAATGTGTGACTGACTTCTCATTCTCTTCGCAGAATATACAGTTCGCATCCGTATGTATACCCAGTCTCGTAGGGTGATATTTTAATCTACAGTGGCCTGTTAGGATGCCTGTGATGATTCTTATATGTAAATAACGAAGCAATAAATTTCATTTAATTAAAATAATCTGTTCCACGAGCTACTCGTAGTAACTTTGAGTAACACTGTGTATACACAAGTGCATTCCACCAGCAAATTTTCGAGCAAATGAGATCATCTGAGAGAACGTAACATCCCTGTCGAAATATAAAAATGCTACACAGACTTTACTCGTACATTTTATTTCAATTAAAATTTGTGTTGATGTGTGAATCAGCTGTTTTGGTTTGAATTTAAATTTTTGTATTATTTATTTGCGCGGCACTGGTGTTCTCAACAGACCTTACACAAAGCTGTTCCATGAAAATCTGTGTAAAGAGGGTAATTTGGCACTTTATTTGGGTTGGGCTCTCAATTTGTACTTTACTTGTGTTTTACTCGAGTTTTACTATGAGTAGCTGGTGGAACGGACCTATTAAAGAAGAGTGCATGTTATGTATTTGAAGAGTATTGTCATAATGCGAGTGAACACAAAGGAAACGAAAATTGTTTCTTCCGTGTACTTGGACAGAAGTAGTGTGAAGTAAAAATCATATGTACAACAGTAACAACTTACAGATTGTAATACATTGACATTAGGCTTTCCACAGTGTTTCCTGTCATATGTTACAAGTAAGACGGAAGAAATATTATTAGTTGTTTTATAAATAGATGTGAGTGAAAATAATATGGCAGTTTAATGATCAGTGTAAAACAACAGACGTGACACTTATTTCATATTTTCCATATATAAGCTGGTAAGCTGTTTCATTATAATAGAAGCAACCCTTATTTATATAGGTTCATATAAATACCCTATAAGGTTCATCACCTTTCTAAAGCATTTTGGCCCACTAAACCTGAAAATGATAATAGTAATGAAGTTTTAAGGTCTTAAATGTGTTTCTACTAAACATTTTTTAGAGCTCCGTATATTAAATAAATCGAATTAAAATAAACAATAAATCTTCCATACATGTCGTCGTAGGCCCCATCATGTTTTGACTTTTCGCAACCAATTGATGTTTGAATACGGACAGTAACAACAACGGTATAATTACTTCAAGGAGTAATCACTACTTGAGAAATTCCCCTGCTACGACGGCTGTCACAAAGGGTGTCATAATGAATGAAGCCGACACCATCCAAAGGTTTCGAAATCAGCACCTAAATGTTAGCATAAAAGAGCACTTAACGCTTCTAAAGCCCTATGCTCCACTGAGAGTAAAGGATAATAGAAGAATAATATAATTAATATCTACCGTTTGTTAATATTAACAAAATCTCTTCAACGTAGTGAAAGGCATTTATTATGTCTTATTATTGTTGAAAGAATATATTACAAGTTTTGATTTACAAGTTTTGATTTACAGATTTCCAATCAATCTATAATATTTATAAACTATGCTCATTTTAATATACTTATTTTTTTTCAAAAAAATTAATTAATATTTATTTTAATTTTATTTACAGTGATTTTTCCACATATTACCACGGCTATCAGATGGCACCAAGCGTTTGTCAAAACTCACCGAAACTACCGCCGCACTCTACTACAAAAACAACATCGGTTACTCAGAAAAGTAATTGTGGTACCAATAGTATAAATGGTTCGATGGCTTCATATAAAATGACGAGTTCCGAAAATAGTTGGTCCCAGGCTTTACATAGTAAGGTATGTACCAGTAAATTTCTTAAATACAAATTTTCGCAATACCATCGAACTTTAACTATACGATTTCATCTCATATTGAATCGAATCTAAGCATTATCTTCTTATCTCATACTGTTATCATTTATGTCTTCAATATTCATATGATATCAATATGATAGTGTCGGGCAGATTACATCTATAGTAAATTGTAAGTTAATATATCGGTGTTCGCTCTCGAATTAAGAGCTTTAAATATCGAGCAGTGTGCAGCTTCACAAACGTACCATAAGCTTTTCAGGTATATATAGTTTGTGCTTTAGTAAAATATGTAGTCACCAATATGAAAATTTTTATCATCTTCAACTTGTCCCTAAATTTTTCATTTAAAATAATCAGTTCAATTCATCACAACCTGTATTAATTCTAGGAAATAGCTGCATTTTATTTCGACAAACGACTACTTATTATACCATATGATTATGTATTGATTATAGATCAAAATTTTAGATATATTGATTAAACATAAAATTCGCAAATAAAGATTATAAATAAAAGTATATATAAAAAAATAAATTAAAAAAAAACTGTTTTCCCGTACCGGGAATCGAACCCGGGCCTTCCGGGTGAGAGCCGGATATCCTAACCACTAGACAATACGGGAGTTAGTACAAGTTGAACAAATGTTTTATAAATAATATCTTCAAAGAATTTTAAAAATTTTATATTTTTGAACTATTTTTATGTTCTATAAAATATATTATAGATCAATAATAATAAGCGTTTTACTTTGTTTTGTACAATGAAGACGAAAACTACTGTAGTCAGACTCATACTAGATTACACCGTATATATAGGTCGTGTGCAAGTTCGAGTAAATTGATGGTAAATTGAGGGAAATAGTAAATGAAGTCGGTATGGGATAGAATGTTGGTATTTACCAGAATTTAGAGTTGGGTAAATTAGATAAGAATTAGGTGAATTAGGTTTTACCATTGTCAACATATTATTAGATGTTTAATAAATAAATGAATAGAATTGAACATTTTTAAACAAAAACAATAAATAAGTGTAATAAATAAATATATAAATATTTACATAAGTTCAGTGCAAAAAATCCCTAGGAAATTTTAATTTATTTTACCTCAATTTACTCGAACTCGCACACGTCCATAGACGATAATAATTATTTTAATATTATTTGATTAATATTAATTATTAGAATAATAACAAGTGCACCTAATGGGATATATGTTTTACTTGAGCTAAATACATTAAAAAATTTTTTCTTGTATATAACACAATACATATAACACATACCATCAAACAACACAATACGTAGCAAACATCAACAGCATTAAAACTACTACTTGGCAACCCTTACCATTTTTCCACTTCTTAAATTGTCCGCCAGATGTCAGGAGATATTTTTTTTCATTTTTTGAAGCATATTTTTAGACAATCCGAGACATTTATATATTTTTCAATCATTGTTTAAAAAAAAACATTTATATTGACTGCAGGTACTAGATCCACTCTGTGTAGAACATAAATCCATTATTTTGTGCATAAACATATGATTCAAAAAATTATTTAAAATAGATCAAAAAATCATTTCTTCCCGTACCGGGAATCGAACCCGGGCCTTCCGGGTGAGAGCCGGATATCCTAACCACTAGACAATACGGGATAAATTACATTGGCTGATAATTATTCTGAAGACGTTGACATTTTTATTTATTTTTATCTAAAATTGAAAAATACTTTTATATCATTAAACTGACTTCATAATTAATTTCCAAATAACTTAATTAAATTAATATAAACAGAAAACAATAAATTATTAAATACTTCCTTCTTCTAAGTGTTACTGTTCGAGACAGTTATGCTAGCGACTTTCTTTCTAGAATTCGTCAGATTTAGCATCTCTCATTAAAGAACATCTTATGTTTTTTGAAAGGTTCCAAATTGTTCAAAATCATTTGTGTTCCATATAGTAACAGAAATTATTAGAATACCGGTAAGACATAACCTAACCCAATGCTAACTATATAGTATTGGTTTGAAAACGTAATAGTAGAACTTTTCTATTATCTATATATCTCTATATCTCTTCTCTTTATCATAAAAACTCTATTACTTCATTCATTTTTAATTTTTCATATTACACAGAAATGTATAATTATATTATATATACAAAGCTATGTCACAGCTATGTCATTTTAGCCGTCGGCCAAAAAGGCTCTACTTACAATAAACTGAGATACATATTTAGAAGAATTTATATATTCAAGCTAATTTTAGGCAATTATCTTATGTAGACGTTACGTGGTGTAGTCCATATATTTAATTGACTAAATCAATTTTTTAAATTGTAGTATAACTAAGACCCATATTCAAAAGAATTGATAAATATAAGCTAATTTTAGGCAGTTAAATTTTGTGGGTGTCATATGTTAAACTCAATAAAATTAATTGGCTTAATTTACTTGTAATCTCCCACAGTCTTTACTAACAAAATTTTAATAGAATAGCTCAAAAGCTAAGAATCGGAAGAACAGATTGAGTTGTAGTGCTATGGTGATTCAGATATATATATGGTTTATTAAGCTTATTGGTTTCCAATGTCTTCTTTGACGCATTAGAAACATAACAAATCGAGAAAAAAAACTTGACAACATTTTTATATACATAGGCTAAAAAAATTTAATATTGATATACATTAAATTAAAATTAATATAACATATATATTAATTTCGAAGACGAAGTTCTTAAGAAAATAAATAAATGAGATATACATTTTTTAAAAAAAAAAACTTTGTCTCCCCGACGGGGAATTGAACCCCGGTCTCCCGCGTGACAGGCGGGGATACTAACCACTATACTATCGAGGACGTTGAGCATGGTCTGTCAGAAATTTTAATTATTTTACTGTAATATATAAAAAAATTTAAATATATTAGGTATTATAATATATTATTATTCATTTATTCGTTTGAAACTTTTAAGTTACAATTTTACTAAGCAAGAAATATTTCATTACAGGAAAACCAGCGGCCGCCTGTTTACAATCCAGAGGATTATGTGCAATCATTAAAAAAATTTGGCAAAAGACAAAGCGGTAAAAACCCACGATCCATATATGACACTCACGACACTAAAAATGCGAATAGTGCAAATAATACAGATGACGCTTATAGGTCATCCACATTACCCAATAAACACTCAGAGTACAAGTAAGTAATATAACAACCCAAAGAACATACTTAGTCAAATGTTTTAACCTTTAAATTTTGCAGAAGTCCCATACCAACCCCACCCGAAAGTGACAGTGAAATGTCTTTAAGACAATTCAGTTCAGTTACAGATTTATTAACAAAATTACGCGCTGATTTAAGAGTTTCATTTCCAAGGTATACTATATACACCTTATTATCGCTATATACCTAATTATAACTGTATATACTACTCTTGAATTTCCACTTGCAGTTTCGTGCAGGAGTTTGTGGCTACACCCTCAGATGGAGTCAGCTTACTTTTAGAAGTGTTAAGAGCCATACAATTATCACAAGCTGCTAATTCTCCAATGCCTGCTGCTCAAATGACCAACTCCATGCCACGTAATACGCAGTCTTACCAACGCCGAGCTTTACTCGATGAATTAGCTTGTTTGTAAGTAAAAATAAATTGTTTCTATATAAATAAAAAATTGTAAAACTTAATTATTTATAAAAATTAGACAATGCATCAGTTTATGTTGTTCCCGTTCGGTGGAAGCCACAGCTCGTTTAGGAACAACACCCATTGGACTTATGCCCTTAGCTTCCTCAGCTACTGGTCAGGGAATACGTGCACGCATATTGGCTATGCAACTCATGACAGCTGCTTGTGACAAAAATACTTTGGGACATAATTCTCAGAAAATTGTTATCGCAGGTCACACAGCCGTTTCGGAGGCTATGTCAACATTACGTTTACGATGCAGTGAACCTGTACGTTTTCGATTATTAATTGGTATGCTCAATAGTGGTGGTGGCTCTGGAGAGCTACAAGCTGTTGGTGTTAGGTATTTGCTGCTTAATTAATATTATATATATCTATTTATTTATTCTTATATTTCCTTGATAGATTTATTAATACCTTCCTTGAGAGTGCCGAAAACCTGCAGCAGCGTCTTTATTTGCAAGCAGAACTTTTTCAAGCAGGTTTCGAACCATCTACTTTGTCAAAGGTAAGAAAAGTACAGGTAGTACTATTCAGATTCTATTCAGATTTTATAAATACAATTAAAGAAAACATTTAAAGAAAACGTGGTTTAGTTACATTTAGTTTTAAGCATTAATAACTGTTCCTAATATAAGTTTCTTAATCAGTTATATCCATTTATATCCACTTATAATTCTCTTAAAAGCTCATATGTAATAAAATTGATTTCATTTTCATAGACAATTTCATCCTCATCACCTTGGTTGGATAATTTACGTAATGAGATTAAACATTTTAATGAGATCTATGTGGATGTAGATAAAATGTTGATGCAAGCACGCGAAGCTGATCGTGTACGTAGTCAAATGGTTATATTGGAAAGACGAGTTCAGGTAAAATGCACGATTTATATAAAAACTATATAAAAAATTAATAATGTTTAACTCATAGATACTACATGAAGAGAAAACTGTTTTGACATCAATGGAACGTCGCCTCCAGGAACGTTGTGCAGAACTGCAACGTGAAATATTCCGTTTGCAAGGAGCGCAAAATGACAGCGATTTGAAAGGTTTAGACAAACAACCTATTGCTTTACCTCGACATGTACCACCATCACATAGTAAACAAGATTCATCTGAACACGAAGATGAGGGTATTAGTAGCTCAGAGACAGGACCTTCACTTAGCCCCGTTCCAATTTTGGTACTACCACAAAAAACGAATATAAACATTTTAAACCAAAAGCACTATAAAAAGAAAACAACACAAATGAAAGACGATGAAACCGCAACCATAGAAGATGTTATGGAAGAATTGGATAATATAGTAAGCGAAGCAGAAAAGCAAATGTTAAAGAGTGATGTTAGTAAAAAAGGAGCAATTAGAAAATACACCGAAACGAAAGAGAAAGATATTGTACCTGTCAATATTGTGCCACAACCACCGCGTAAAGCACGTTCATTAGCACATATAGTCTCACAACCAGGTGGTTCAGAATTAGACGGTACCGAATTCGGTTTATTATTAGCACAACAACAAACAAATGGTAATATAGCATTACCACAAGGAACAGGTCTGCGTACATTCTTTGACGAGACCGATTATGATATGACAGAAATCGATAAACCATATCCTATTGATATTGTCGATATACCTGAAGTTAATACAAATACAGCTGCATTTAATAGCAGTACCACGCGAGAATTACTGGATGTTATAATGAATGCAAGACACACAGATGACGATCCCACAATTAAAGCTCTACGTGAAGCCAATGCCACAAATAATCAAAACAATAGCCCACACAATAAACGCAATAGTTTTGCAGGCGGTGAGGCAATTAGTACAGCCCTTGGGGGCTGTAAGAAACTGCAAGCTCCAGCGCAACAGTTTAATGGTGTATTTTTTATGACAGGCATGAATACGCCACAGAAATATCCAAAACCAGATTTAACTGCAGCTTTACAAGCTAAACGCGTTTCAAAGAATGTAGAACGATTGGAAGCTATATTTGCCAGTCATGACCGCCTCAATGAGACTAATGGCTTAATACCTGCACGTGAAAAGTCTCGCAGCAATCAACAGATCTATTTCGGTAGCAATCCTACATTACGCGTCAATGGTGGTTTCTGCAGTTATACTAACAATATAACCATCAACAGTAATATTACAACGCGAACACGATCATATACGCAGGGTTCCAAGCTGACAGATCTGCCATCGGGTCTATATTAGTTTTTTATATGAGAGATATAACTATATTTAAGGAATGCATTATATTGATAATATTCGAAACTTCTCATTTAGCTTATAACATATAAAATTAAATTAAATAACAAATTAGTAATAAAATAATATTATTAACTAAAAATTAAAATTACTTTTAATTTAAATTAGTAGCCCCAATTAACACAAAGACAGCATTTTGTGCAATATTTAATGATGAAATTAATAATAAAATATCAGGAGTGTTTATTATTGTGTTTAAGTATTAATTGTAATTACTCCTTTAATTATAATTCGATTTATTTAATATATAAATTGGTGGAAGCAAGTTTTTAATGATATTAGTTAACTCAAATATTGCATTTAATTTTAAAATGTAATAATTCTGATATTAACTATAATTGAACTTTTTTAGTTCTACGGTCGTAGAATTTGTAAGAAGTTTCATTTATTTTAATCAAATAATATTTAAGATCATTATATTAACTAATTAATTTCGTTTCATCTCATTAATAATTTTAATTATATAAATATTTTTATACTGTAAAATGTTTAATAAAAATAAATATTTTAAACTTTAATATATCAAAATAAATTTTTTATTTTTGTCAAATTTTTTTTTTTTTTTGTTTTTTTTTATTAAGGTGCTACAATGAACTCAACTCTTAGAATAGGTTACCTCCCTGGGATTTGTTATCACCGAATGGATACGTATCCGAATGGAGATGTCTTCGGTTGAAGAAGTTTTGGATAGGGTTGGTTCAAACTGCAGACGTTTCCAATTGTGGATGTTTCCATATGGAGATACCTCCGAATGGAAATGTCTTCAAATGGGAATATCTCCGAATTGTTATCTCCGAATGGATAAGTATCCAAATAGAGATGTCTTCGATTGAAGAAGTTTTGGATGGGGTTAATTCAAACTGCAGATGTTTCCAATTGTAGATGTTTCCAAATGGGAATGTCTGCGTCCGGATGTGTCCGAATGAGGAAGTCTCTCAATGGGAATTTCTCCGTAAGCAGATGTTTCTGAATGGAAATGTCTAAGAAAAGAGATATTCTTGAATGAAACTGTGTACAAATAGGGATGTCGCAGAATAGAGATGTCTCCACATGTGAATATATCTGAAGGGAAATGTCTTCGAATTGGGATGTCTTCAAATGGGAATATCTTTAAGTAGAGATGTCTCCGAATGGGAAGTTTTTGAAAAGTTATATTTGAATGGATGTTATTAAAAGCAGTGACAAATAATTTCTCAATAAGCTTTCATAAAAATAGAAAAATAATTACTCTAACAAAAATATATTAAACAAACTCTTTTTAAATTGCAATAAAGCATTTTTAGATTAATAAATAATTCGGAACTAAATTTTATTAATATTCAAAATCAAAGAAAATTTTATTTAAATCATTGTCGGTCATACTTTATCTTAAAATAGCGCATAATTGTTACTCGTCAAGCTCAATTCAATTAAAAATTGTTTTGAAATGATTGTTCTACTGATTGATGGCATAATTAAAAAAATATAAAATCAATTGATTCATTTAAGAAAATAAAAAAAAAGCAATTAATATATAAAAATAAACTTGTGTTCTTCTATTATGTATTTGCTAAATTTATTTTTGATTTAAATTACAGATTTTATTAATCCAAATTCTGTAATACAAAAAACAGTAAATAGTATTATTGAATATATGATATACATATTTGAATAAATATATTAATTAAATACATAATACGATTTTAGTTATAAGAAGTAACGGCAATTGCATATATAAATAATATATGATCTAAACCTCTATCCAGATATTCACTGCGGGATCATACAAGGTAAAACCTAAATTATGATAGAAGTTATCTACCAGATACTTTTTTTCGATAAACTGTCGATCCTTTCATTTAGTCTTTTAAATTAATAATCTTTGATCAGTTATATCACAGCGAATCAATAATATAACAAAAACATTCAGTTTTGTCATAGCCCATTACATTTTGAAGTAATGTTTTATTCTTTGTATAAGAGATTTATTTTTCAATGCTAGTCGTTGTGCCTGGTAAAGTATTCTATTGGTTCATTTGCGCACCCTGCCTTTTAATCCTCCTTCCACTCACATGTGTATATTTTATTTACCTTTCGAATGGCTAATGACCAAAGAGTCGTCGCTATATGTATATACAAATCCATAGTAGTATCGTGCAGAATTACTACGTGTTGCTAAACCATATGTACTGCCTTATCATTAACGAACTGTGTTAATTATTTTATCTGTTATTTTTATGAAATATCCTCAAGCTTGTTAGATTTTTAATAATAAATATATATATCAAACATTTCAATGTGGAAAGTTATTAGAGTATACACTAAGGTCAGTATTCCAATATTTGGCTACCGATTCCAACACCATTTGCTAAACTTTAAAGCAAACCCATGGTGCTTCATGGTGAACTCATTGCTTCCGAACCTATTTACAATGATACCAAAAAGATACAAATCAGCAAATTAGGATTTACATCCTATCCTAATCCTGGATCCTAATCCTAATTAGGATTAGGATTTGAGGATTTGATTATGGTTAATGCAACTCTGTTGTGTCGCTTAGAAAATTAAGTGTAGAAAAATTATTCGTCGGCCTCTTTTCATAAGAACGTAAAAACGTTTTATAAAGAAACAAAGTTACAAAGTTTAAATAATAAATTAATTGGCGAATATTAATTATGATAGGTGCATTTTAAGTTTAGAGTATAGTATATAGCATTTGTATATACTTACTGCATAGACATGCATTAAATTTATTAATATTACTAAAAATTAAAATGAAACCCTTAATACGTAAGTCCATGCCTTAGAACTGTTTACGTACGATATATACGTATATGAAATATAGATATATGTATGATATATATGTATATGTAAATACATATAATACATGTAATAGTAAAAATATATAATATAATTAAAGCCAGTGAAGCTTCTTTAATATATTAACAAACAGGTTAAAAAAAATTTCCTAAATATATTCGTTTTTTTAAGATACATTTAATACATATATATATATACATATATATAATTTCTCCAAAAGTATGAATATTCATTGGTCATATATGTATGTAGATAAGATCATATACTTGACATAACCAGCAAGAGCAGAAAAATGAATTTTTATTGCTTGAATGAATTTCGGAATTTTTAATTATTAATTACAATTTAAATACATATTAATCATTTTAAAATTCTCTTACGTCATAATTATATACATAATAAGAAAATTCAAGTCATTATTATTAAATATAAATAAACAAGCATATAAGTATCATCTTTTTAAGTCATTAACATTTTGGTTTATAATTTTTCTCATTTTTTACCAATAAAAACAGTTTTAAGAAAGAAAATATTATGACAAATTATTAAATAATAATAACATATATATGTGATATCATGTGTGATATGAATTTAAACACAATAAACAAATAATTAAGTACTAATTCGAGCCGAATGCAAAGGGCGCTACACTTTTATAAAAATACAATATGTACATTACCTAAGTTATATACAAATTTATGTAAGTGATTACTTAATGTTTCTAGTATTTTTTTTAATAAAGATATTAAGAAATAATAAGGATATATATAAATAAAGAATATAAAGAATGTGAGCAGTGACATCACAATACTTTCAAACGAGTATAATATTCGTTCGTATTCGTAATCTGGAAGGTAATCTACCAACTAGGTATCTAAAACATTCAAATACATACATATATAGCTTAAGCTTCTATATATTACTAAAAAAGGACATACTAAAATTTACATAGGACAAATACCCTATGTGCCCTATGCCTAAGATATCACTTGTTATTTACAAGTGCAAATTTCCCTTATATTCTATGCCTTGTTGCTCAGTTTAATTAGATACTAAAGAAATCCGTCTTATTAAAATATCTTGTACACCCATTAATATAAAGAATACAAAGAAATTATTGAAATCACTCATACAGTGTAGTCAAGCCAATCGATTCAGTCAGTCCTTTATTTTCCACCAGACTTTCAGAGCAAGTCCACCTAATACGCAATGACCTGTCAACAGTTACACTGTTTTGGTAAGTTGGTTCCACTTTATTCAATGCAGCTCACTGGTACGGTTCTTATCTAAATCAGACAAAGTAAGTCTTGATCGGATCTACTTGGCCTAAAAAAGCTGACAAGAAACTTCATCTGTCCAGCTTTTTTTGCTATCACTATATATTTTTGTTTAATATCACAAATAAAAAACGATATACTGTTTCTGTATAGACTAAAGCGCACAGAAAAATATGAATGATATAATATTAACTTTCCACAATATTCTGCAAAAGGAAATGCGCTGACACAAATAGGTAAGTAAGTTGAAGTAGCGACCTTGTTTCTAAAAAGTCCACTTTAGCTCAAATGAAGACGCATTGTGTTGTTATAGGAATAGCATTGGTATGTAAATAGATTGAAAGATCAGTATACGGCTAGCACCGACAAATTCTTCATTAGATAAAGGAAAATCAGCCTTACAGTTCTATAAATTCGGCTAAGTTTCTAATATTACAGGATGACAACTCGGTCAGGTCGGTAAGAAAAGGTTTTCGATCTTCTCCTAGCTAAAGACGTGCACTGACACATGACATGGAGCAGGGTCTCCTACTCATCCTCAGCGCCACAACCACGACAAAAGTCATTATAGGCTAGACCCAGTCTCATAGCATGTATTCCTGTTTCGCATATATATATGCGCTAAAAATAAAACACTACATATATGTGCGTTATGTTACAATTTGAAGTGTCTTTTGTATAAGCTTTTGTGTAAAGGGTTATGGAATTTTAAAGAACTTTTCAGGACTTAATATAATATATCTGCCTTAAATAATTAAACCAGTTTAAGAATTTTTCAAATACAATTCTTTAAGTAATTACTAGATCTACAAAACTAAATAAATAATTATAATAGACACACTCTTTATCAATCAAAATTTGTGTGAAGAATCGAATATGCATTCGAGCAAATGTAGCTCCAATTATAAAAAGCAGACATCATATCAGGTAATTTAGACATGCAACGGCAAAAGCCAACCACAACGATTATCTCAGTAAGTGTTTTACAATCAATGGATCAACATCAGAAGCCAGTAAACCAGTAAACTGCCACAATCGATACAAAGTGCAACCATTACTTATATGGCTTTTCATATTGTGCAGTCTAATCCAATAATTAGCATTATCGATTTAAGATTAGTAAACTAAAAATAAAATTTTGAAAATAAATTAACTTTACAAGAATACAAGAATGTCCTCAATATGTAGTTCTGCCCTAAAACGCGATTAAGGAAACAATAAAAGTAAAGTGAATAAAGTGCAGTCATTTCTATCTCAAATTTACTATTGAAAATAGTTGGAAATAATTTAACAAAGTGGATTAACGCTCCAAAATAAACAAAGACGCTTTTCTTATCAAAAATAATTATCAAAATTTGCACCCAACACCTGCTGTGCTCAAGATAATTAGTAATTATAATAAATAATTTTGAAAGAGTTAATCTATTACTGCAGGTAATATAATGTGTTGGAATCAACTATATGTGTGTGTTTTTTTTTTTAAATAAAGTGTTAAGATTACATACTCTAAGGATATGTAAATGTTAATCAAATAAACTACCGAAGAGCAATAATTAGGATGAAAGACATTCTCTTCAAGTATACATATTTTTGGAATTCTTTTTAAACAGAAAGTAATTTGAAGAGTTAAGACTTTGTCTTCAGAAGTTGTGTAATTGTCAGTAATATAAATTTACAATTTACAAACGTGTAATAAACTATGTATCGATGTTATGTTCTATGAGTCAGAACTTCTGGAACAGAAGTTAATATTTTTTATAATCTTTCAGGCAATATACACAAACCATATCGAAAAAATTATTTATCTCAGTAAACGCTTTAGCACCGGTATATAGCAATCGTACTGGATTGCTCACTTAGTATCTTATAAATATCTAAAACCCTTAATACAATACTAAATAAAAAAATTGATCTAGAGTTGTCGAAACTTCTTCTAACCAATCCAAAGAAAAATATACAATATAAAGCTATACATAATATAAAACAATATAATTTTTTAATTTTGCATTGAAAATCTAATATATACATTTTAAAATATATTTAGTAGAACATATAATAAGTTGTGCCTGCTCTTAACATATATGGTATTATAACTGTACCGCCATAGACCGATGCATTACGATCATACTCAAGCGGAAAAAATGAGATCTCGAAAATGATCGATTTCAAAAAGTGGTAAACAAATAAACTTAAATGATACCAGGATTCCAACTAATGAAGAAAATTTTTAATGAATAATCACCTTTTTAGTGGAACCCTACCTTGAAGTATTCCCAATAAAATTCCGTTGTAGAAATGGTCTGGCAAACCGGGCATACCACTATTGTGACAACATAGTGACGATGTGTTAGGTAGTTTTAAGCGTCCTGTCCGTACAAAAAAAAAATATATTATAACTGTGACAAGCAAAAGAATCGAGTATATACAGGGCGAAGGACCTAGGAGTCCATTTCCTTATTCATAATTATTCCTAATTAACAAATAAATAAATAAAATAAATCAAGTATATAAGTCAAAACAAATCCAAACAAAATAATTTGTAGACATTACTTTTTATTATTATCAAGTTATAATTGTTAACAAAGATTAATTATAAAATATTTATTTAATAATTATCATAATATATTTAGATATAAAAAATGAATCCAACATCGAAGAATGAGCAACCAACCATACGTCCACTTTCCCCAATGCTGCAGGAAATAGCCATAAAGGAACTCAATGAGGTGCCTCACAGATTACATGAAGATATATTAACCCTACGTAAATGGATTTATAGTCAGCCACATTTACGTGCACGAACCAATGATCAATTTTTATTAAGTTTCCTACGAGGTTCCAAATTTAGTTTGGAAAAAGCAAAGCAAAAAATTGATAGATATTACTCTCTTAAAGCAGCTATACCAGAAATTTTTAATGAACATCGTAATGTAGATGATAAAATAGTCATGGATATAATACGTGCAGGGTAAATTTATTTCAATCAGTATTTCATGCTTACTACATAATTCTAATATGTTTTATATATGCTTTTAGTATTATACTACAAATACCATTAGCCGCTGATGATACAAGGCCTTGCATTACCATTATACGTGCCGGTTCCTATGATACTAAGATATTTAAATTTGCTGATATTATACGTGTGGGTACAATGTTTGGTGAAATTTTAATGATCGAAGATGATAATGCCTCTGTCAGCGGTTATATAGAGATAATGGATATGAATAATGTTACTGCCGCGCATTTTTTTCAGTTAAAACCGGACCTATTGCGTAAGTTTTCAGTATTTGCTGACGAGGCAATGCCTACTAGACAACGAGGTACACACTTTATCAATGTTCCTCCACCATTCGAAAAAGGTTTTAGCACTTTGAAGAATTTCTTTCCAGCTAAAATGTTGAGTAGAGTATGTTTATGGAATATTTAAATTTATTTCAATTTTTTTAAAATATTAGTAACTCTTTTTCTAGATATCTGTTAGTTCTGATTCCGAAGCAATTTTTAATTTTGTTCCTCGCAACTATTTACCCATTGAATATGGTGGCGAAAATGGTACCATGCAGGATATAATTAATAATATGGAAGAGAAAATAATGAAATATCGTGAATACTTTTTGGACGACTCCAAATATGGTACCGATGAAAAATTGCGCGAAGGCACACCAATTAATTATGAAAGCTATTTCGGTATTGAAGGATCCTTTAGAAAATTAGACATAGATTAAAAATTGTCAATATTCAGTTCACCAAAAAAATATACCAAAAATTTATTCCATCAATTTTTATCGCAAGTATTTTTAGTTCATCACATCACATATATAAAAATATTTATATACGTAATATATATTTAAAATTGTTTAAATAGTATACCAAAAACTAATATTTAAAATATTATTGTTGTAAGTAGTAGAATAAATTTATTAAAAATTGTACTAGTGTTAAAATAAAATATATAAGCCTAGATTGTTTAAAAAATGATGTTTAAATAAAAATTCTATTCAATTTTATAAAAATTTATATTTTCATGACAATTAAAAGTCTCCAAAATTGTTAACATATGTATATAACACAGTTATTATTTATAAGCAGTATAAAAAATAAGTAGATATATATTCTATTATATTTCATATAGAACTTGATTGAACATTAAAACATCTACAACTTTCACATATTGTTTCAATATTGCGTAGGGGCTATATTGGAAAATTCCAGAACAGTCCTTGCGTCCACAATCTAAATTGGCATACAGACTCTACGACTTACCCCCTGGTATCCCCAGGGCTTTATGTTGGGGTTTTGCACAGGCCTTGATACCCGTACCGTCAATCAGTAGGCCGTTAACGATGTAAAAAAGCCTCAGATTCTCTAAACAAATTAATAATTACTAGTTGCTGTATATTGGTTATATAGTATATATGACCTCATATCAAAATATAAATTAGATGATGAACTAATTCGTATGGAAATGCAACCCTGTGGAACTGTCATATAATATCTCTTACAGCCAATACCTAAAAAAACGAAGGCTGCAAAAATAGAAAATAGAATATTTTTATGTTATTAATACTCAAAAACGAAACCTCTGAAGATTTGAAATTATACGTATAAGAACTTAATTAAACTTAATTTATTCGAACTTTTTATCAAGAATACTGTGGATATATGACAAGTCAAATTTTGCTTGATATTCATTATAAAAAATATATATTTCCGATTCCACACATTGAAGATTTCAAATTAGCCAAGAATATTTAGTTTTGTTTATGCGATTAAAGATCATTTTAGCAAATTGTGGAACCAGTGCATTGATAATATGGAACAAACTGCAAATAATAAACAAAACAAGAATAAAATTAGGAACAAGCTACTTATTAAAACATCTATGAATTTGCGTAGACCACCACTTGCACTGCAAAAAATTGCTGAAGAAAAATTGAACGAAAATTGGGCAAAGATTCCAGACGAGATTAGGGACCTACGTATATGGAATGCCAATAATGAATTTATAAGGGCACGATGTGACGAACAATTTTTATTGTGTTTTTTACGTAGCGCTCAACATAATATGGAATTAGCTGAAACTAAATTAAAATCCTTCTACCGTTTACGTGATAAATATCCAGCTTGTCTACGAGCTCCTTCATTCAAAGATCCAAAATTTAAAGAATTTTTAGAACAGGGGTTTATATATACAATACATTTATTATATACATACCTATATTAAATTGTTTTTTTTCCAGTATTGTACTGTTTTTGCCGAAACCAATTGCAGAAGATGGACCGATGATCATTTTGCTACGCCTCTCCTTATTTTCAGTTGAGAGAAATACATTTTCAGAAGTAATGCAGAATCTGCACCTAATGCAGGAATTGGTCATGTTGGAGGAGGATAATGCGACTATAAGTGGCATTATCTATCTAATAGACTGCGAAAATATTACTTTAAAAAATTTATATAATCTTTTATATGTGGATAAGTTAATAAATATCTTTACGGATGGCCTTCCACTTCCTGTAAAATCGGTGCATTTTATACATGAACCTCATCTTCTTGATGTTGCTATTAACATAATTAAATTCATGTTCAAAAAACAAATACCAAATGTAGGTTAAAGTATTTTATATAGCTTAGTACTGTTAGTATACTAACTGTATAGTTAGTATTTTTACAGTTCTTTGTAATATTTATATATAATTTATTAAAATAATTTATTTTGTATAATTATATTATATTACATATATATATATGTATATTTAATTTTTTTTAACTGGAGTGTTTATAAACATTTTTAATCTTTTTTCAATAGTTGCATTGTCATGGATCTAATTTAGCTGATTTATACAAAACTATTCCACAAAATATATTACCTTTGGAATATGGAGGTTCATATAGAAATTTGAACGATCTAGTTTCTTATTGCGTACATAAAATTTATTCTCACCAAAAGTATTTTATGGAGGACTTTTCATTTGGAACCACTCTACACTGGCAAATGTGTTTAAATGCATTCAGAAATGAGACTACGTCATATAGAATACTCGAATGGCTAAAAATTTTTATATATTAAATTAGATTCATATATTAAATTAATCAATTAAGTCCAATTTTCCATAATTAAGTCCAATTTTTAATTAGAATCAAAACAAATTGGTATAATTCTTGACTTTAATTGAAAAAAATCTGTAGTATATATGTAAAATAAATAAATATTTTGATATAAAAATAATATTTCTTAATATTATTATTATGTATAAAACACTTTTACTAACAATTTACATTGTAGCTGGAAATATTATAAACACATATAATGCCTTATCGCTTATTAGATAATGATTATAACTTAAGATTGGTGCCAATATTCGAAAATGAATTTAATTGTAAGAGGACTGTAGACTACTGCAGACCGTTTAAAATATTTTTTAACAAAAATATATAGAAGTGTAACGATGGCCCTACGACAACTACCAGATTATTTACAAAAAACTGCAATCGAAGAATTAAATGAAGTACCAGAAAGAATACCTGCAGATATCGAGGCGTTGAAAACATGGATACAGCAACAGCCACATCTAACCGCTCGTACTGATGAACAATTTTTGATTGCTTTCCTTCGAGGATGTAAATATAGTTTAGAAAAGGCCAAGTCAAAAATAGATAAATTTTATACTCTACGTACACAAGTTCCAGAAATGTTTGGAGTTAAATCTTTTGATATGAATAAAATAATTGAAGTGCTAAAATTAGGGTAAGATAATAATCTCAAGGTATTTAAAGTTTATACAAGTATAACATAATTGCAATTTCCTTACAACAATAGCGCAATTTTATACCTTCCAATACCGTTAAATGATAATGGACCACGTATAGGTATAATGCGTATGGGTGCTTATTCTGCGGATGAATACAATTTTATTGACATATTGCATGTTGGTCAGATACTACAAGAAATAACCCTGCTTGAAGATGATTATGCAAATGTAAATGGTATAGTGCATATCATGGATTTAGCAAACGTAACAAAGGGCCACTTATTTCAAATGACTCCAGGAACAATGAAGAAAATGACTGTATGGACAGAACAAGCGTTACCACTACGACCAAAAGCAAACCACTTTGTTAATACACCAACAGGATTTGATGTTGTTTTTAATATGGTTAAACCAATGTTGTCTCAAAAACAACAGGATAGGGTAAGCAACTTTTTCGATTCTTCTCATATTGATTCTTCTCATATCTCATATTGACTAACTTATTATATTTTTTAACTGATTTTCTTCTTTGATAAAACAGCTTCACGTGCATGGCAATAATATGGATTCTCTGCATGCACAAATACCAAAAAAATATCTACCCAAAGAATATGGTGGAGAAAATGGATCGTTACAAGACGTTATTGATAGTTGGGTAAAGCGTTTCGAATCATATCGAGATTATTATATCGAAGAGAAAAACTATGGCACTGATGAGAAGTTACGACCAGGCAAACCTATAGATTTTGAAGGTCTTTTAGGAATCGATGGATCCTTTAGAAAATTAAATGTTGACTAAACTAGAGTTAATATTATACTTTATTTGTCTATATAA